GTTTTTAATAATTATGAAAAAACTCAAATTATAAATTAAGCAGCTAATCAAATATGTAATAAATTAAATGACCCCTTAGGTTAATAATTGTATACCATATGCCAGTGGTTAATACAAAAGTGTAATGCCAGCATCGTAGGTTTGAAAACAAATTTGTTTCTGTTTTTTTCCTTAAGAAGAGACGGGCAACTTGTTAATAGCAAGGGAAAAAAAACAATCCAGTTGCGTGAGTCTCTCTCATGCACATCCACCTCAGCATTTTAATAGGTATATAGCTTCTTTTTTTTATTGGTCATTTGATTTTTTATTTTTATTTTTTAATATTGATTTTTTATTGAACTGTATTATTCAATTAATTATTAATTAATTTCTATAATAAAATAAAAAAATTAATTCAACTAACTAGAATTTATAAATCAAATTATGAGTTTAACGAATTTATTAGAATAAATATAACTTTTTTTTCCTTTAAATTCTTTTTTGAATGAACCTAGTGGATAAGATTATTTCCAATCAAATCCTGTATACTTTCTAAATAAAGAATGATGTTGAACTTTTTTGAATTATCTAAATGATAATACCAAAAGTTTTGTCCCTTCTTTTTATATAATTTATAAATAAATGAAAATTATAAATCCAACTTGACAGGATAAAAAGCAGAAATGGGGCCCCAACGTTTTGTCCCTTCTTTTTATATAATATCCGTTTAGTTTGGTATTTTTTTAAGAAAAAAGAAAAAAAGAAAAAGGAAAAGAGGTGAAGGGTCGGGGAACCAGATTTCTGGAATGAAAGGAGAAACGAAGTGACACGTAAGTGCCAGGATGCATCATGCAACCGCGTACACGTCGCTGTCGGTTCATGACGGTGCTCTTTTCTGGCTGCCAATGGCAAGTTGGGAGTCATGACGGTGATGTGACCTTGATTGTGCCTGGCTGTTGTCTCGGTGGTCCCAACTCATTGAGTTCTTTTTGGATTTTTCTTTTTTAATATTTCAATGGATATTTTATCACTAATTAAAATAAGGAACTATAAGAAAAAGAATATTATATTTTTCAATATCGACACAAAACTACATTATATATTTTTTTGCATATGAGTTCACTGTAAGAAATTAAAAAAATCCATGTTGTAAAAAAAAACTGCAAAAAAATAAACAAACCTTTTATTATATCGAAAAGGTAACCAGATCATTACAATTATTAATAAAAAATACGCTGTTCAAAACTCACCAACGAATTTTTTTCAGATTTAAATATTTTATTAGTAATTTTATTGGTAATTAAAATAAAAAATTATATAAAAAATATAATTTGAATTAAATGAAAATCCAAATACTCTATGAAAAAAAATAAAGAAAGAAAATATGGTGAAAGGATGTCGATGGATTTGATTACGAGACGTGAAGAATAAGATAATTAGAAGGATAGAGATAATGGAAAGAACGAAGAGAGGGTATGAGAGGAAAGTTTTTTTAAAATATTTTATATGAAATTACTAAAAAACATATTTTTTTTTTGTTTTTGCTGCTAATTTCGTCACTAATTAGTGACAGAACCATCAATTCTTTTGATAATTAGCGACGGAAAGTCCCTTTCATAGATTCTGTTTACAATAAGCTCGTCACTAAAAAAACAATTTTATGACTGTGAAGTTATGGTGTCCATTTCGGACTAGATGGGAGAAGCAGTGGTGCTCAAAAAGTCCAAATAATGGTTTTTTATAATATAGAAATTTTTTTAAAAGTATTTTTCCTATAAATATATTAAAATAATATTTTTTATTTATTTTAAAAAATTATTTTTTATATTAGTATATCAAAATGATATAAAAATATTAAAAAATATTATTTTAAAAAAATAAAAAATAATTAAAAAAACACTTTTAAAACAAGAAACACACAAATTAAAAATTTCACAATTGGATAATTTACTTAATATTGTTTTCATTACGAGGCTCGCAGTTCCAGAATAACAAATTTTATAATTTCTTTTACTTTAACCATAAGAAAGTATTTATACTAATTTTCACATATTAAAATTAAATTTCTCATCTGAGTGATCTTAGGCACATAGTTTATTGATGAATGTTACATGTCTGTACTAGTTAGGTAGTTTGTATTATACTAATGAGATCTTAGATTGATGAAAAATCATTAAAAGTTATTTTATATGTCTTTTGATAAATTAATTTAAAAAATTAATGAAATAATAAAATTAAAAAAAATAACAAGTAGCTGATTTTAGGCCACTGGAATCTCTTAATTTAGTGAATGTTATGGTTGGAACTTGATACCTAGTTATTTTAGGCCACTAAAATCTCTTAATTTAGTGAGTGTTATGGTTGGAACTTGATACCTTGTTATAGTGTATCATAAGTTCTTTGACTTAATAGGTCATTTACCCAAATCAAAGTTGTGGATTAAGAATTATGATTTTTGAAAGTAAATCACTTGAATTTGTAATTTTTAGATTTATAAAAATAAAAATATTTTTAAAGGTATTCTCGGTTAAGTGAAGAGTGCAATTTACCCTAAATATTTTATGAACCCTAAGTTTCTTGTTTCAATGTTAGAGTGTTTTTAATATTTTTTTTTGATAATTCTTATGAATTTATGAGAAATTATTTCTAATTAGTGAAATTTAGTAGTTAATAACTGAATTTTTATTTTGGAGATTGAGAAGCTTTTATAGTTTGGTTTTAATATTTTTAATATACTAAATTTATTTTTATTTAGAACTTGAATACATGAAAGGTGTTTTATAAAGAACTTGATTTTCATGTGAATTAATTTATTTACTTAATAAATAATTTTCTAAAAATATCCTCAATTAATAACACTTCTACTTTAATTATACTTGGAATACTGCTATACTTGAAATAAAAAAGTTTCTTATCCTTTTAGAAATGCAAAAAATGCAAAAAAAAGGTTTAAAAACATATAATCAACTCGAAATCAAAATTTTTTCAGAGCTCAAATATATTTTTAGGTGTTTTTAAAGTAATAAAACATATAATTTTAACTTTTCTTATCATATAAATCATTTGACACAAAATAAACTGTTTCAGTGATCAGAATCGTTGCAAACAATAACTTTATCTCTCTAAACTAGAATCTAACAACCCTTTCTCCTACACTACAAAAAACTAAAAAAAAGATGATATTAAAATATAATTTTTGAAAATTATACGACCAATTACCTAATAATTTAAAAAGATATAAGGACTTAAATAAGCTTTTCAAATAAATTTCAAAGTTATTATTTATATTATTTGTGTTTTTTATTTAAGCTATTTGTTTTTCGATCAACTCTCATAAAAAAACATATAATTAGGTTTTTATTTGGATTTAATTGTGCAAAAATAAAATTTGATGATGAAATTAAATTTTTTTAAATATTTTATTATTACAATTCAATGTGAATTGAGTTGTGAGAAGATGGACAGTAAAAAAAGTTATAATAAAAAAAGTCACATACTTTATGTGTTTAAGCTACCTTTCTATCTTAAAACAATTTTAGTTTGACTCGCATCATAGCTTAGGGCATGAAAATAACCTTAGTTAATGTTTTTCGCCTGTTGTGTGATGAAAAAAATCATAATTGAAATAAAATTCGATCTCCTTCCCCATTGCTGTAAAGTTCAAAAAATGTGTTCAAGCTGCCTTTCTATCTTAAAAAGTAATGGAGACTAAGATCTACGTGGATGTGAGTAAGAGGAAAAGTCCATACATGGTGATCCATGTTTTCTTTTCTCCAGGTTTAGGTCAAAAGTTGCTGGCAGAGCCGACAAAAGTTTATCCATGGCCATTGCATCTCACGTCATCATCAGATCTACAAAGTTTGGATTTCATATGGCTGTAAGATATACATTTTTTTTTTATCTGATTTGATTGGTATATTTAATTTTTTTTAAAAAATTAATTAGAATTTTTATTTAGATGTATTTGATTGGTATATTTAATTTTTTTAAAAAAATTAATTAGAATTTTTATTTAGAAAATTTGAAGGATATTTTAATTTTTTTATAAAATAAAAATAATTTATAAAAAATTATTTAGAATTTAAAATGTTTAGGATATTCCAGTAGTTTACATGTTTTTTTATAAAAAATAAAAATATAAAAAAATTATTTAGATACTTTAGTTTATTTTTTATAAAAAAATAATTAGTATTTTTATTTAGGATATTTCAAGGTAATTTAATTTTTTTTTATAAAAAATTAAAAACATTTAAAATTCTTTAAGAGTAATTTAAAAAATAAAAATAATTTATTAAAATAATTAATTAGAATTTCTGTTTAGAATAATTAAATGGTGGTTTAAATATTTTTAATAAAAAATAAAATAATTATAAACAAATTAATTAGAATTTTTATTTAGAATACTTAAAGGTAATTTAAATGTCTTTTATAAAAAAATTATAAAAAGATTAATTAAAATTTTATTTGGCATATTTCAATAGTAATTTAAATATATTTTTATAAAAATAATTATTTTTATAAAAATAATTAAATAGACATGGCTAACAAATTTAATTTTATTGAATTTAGCATAACAAACAGATCTAATTTACTTGAATTTGTCTAAGTTTTTAATGACTAACAGACTCATTTTGCTTAAATCTTGCATAATTATCAAATCTAAAAAACTTAAAAATATTACCTATACTATTAATATTTTTTTGATATTTAAAAAAAATTTAATATTACCCCTCCTATGAAGGGCAAACTAACATACTAGTTTACATTAATTCATGTTTTTTTACTTGTAAAATATTTATGTTTATAATTCATTTATAGGAAAAAGAAAAACAAACAAATCTACCCACTAAAAATTATTTTTAATGTAAATACATAAAAACAATTAATTATTATTATTATTTTTTTTTTTGTATACTTCAGATATAAAAATGCAACCATTAATTTTTCATAAAAACAAAAAAGAAAGAGATGCATCACACAATCAGACAAGAAAAGGGTATATAAATTAAGAAAAATTATGATGGGTGTTCTAATCAAATGATAAATATATTCATATAATCTTCAAGTATTCCATAATTGAATAAACAATTGGGCAAAACTTATCACAATTTTCATGTTTCTCTTTTTAAATCACACATTACAAATTTGATCAGGATTTTAACATCAGCTGTTCAGGTACCAGCCCGGAATGCAAGAAAATCTGCTTATACACCTAGACAAATAAACTGGAACGATCTGATGCAACTCACAAGAAAAACCTCCTCCGGCTGGTGTCCATTTCCGGCTGAAATTCAAATGAGAAGAAATACGAACAGTTTCATAATCTCACAAAATTTGGAGGCAAAAAAAGCATCAACAAATCAAATAAATATATATACCAAACAGAAACCGTTCAAAAGCTACCTTGTGAACCCATTCATATTCACCACCTTTGGTATCAAATGTTCCATGTTGAAGACTTCTCAACTTCAGTGTAAATCTAGGACCACACTCCTGCATGTTTAGAGGATAACTATTGGCACACAGACTACCAAGATAATAGGGGTTTCAGACAGAGATGTTTGGGAAAAATTGAGACCCATAACTTGGATGGAGTATCCAAATGTAGTTGAAATTATCAAGGGCCTAGCTAAAGTTCCAGATGCGTTTGATGTTTCACTAGTGCCCTAAGGCAGAATATTAAGATTACAAGGTTTGACTCAGTTCATAGAGTTAATCAACAAGAAGAGAAAAAGACAAGTATAACTTATGATCCTGGTAGAAAGGATATCAACTCCACAATGAAAAATGTTAACAACAAATTTAATAGGGAAACATAACCTGAAGGCGTGCAATCACTTTCTGTTGAGAGATCTTCCCATCCTTGCCATCTTTATCTTTTTTACCTTTTGAATCACTCTTTTTACTCTCTTTGGTTTCAAAGATGTAACTGTGCAAGTAATAGTTGGAAAACTCTATTGGAAAGGTGTTCATAGAAAAGAAAAGAAAAGACTACCCACAGGTTTATTCTTGGAAAAATTTAATGAATCCAAAGCATACCGGTGATGCCGGAAGAATATATAATCACGTTGATTGTGAAAGGTTACAACTCTTCGACCCCGGAAATTCGGTTCTTGCGGGAAAAGTGACTGTATTATTCTGGAGGGTACATATGAACAAAAGAATGTTTTATTAAGAAGAAAACCAGTGTAAGAAGTCAACAAAGAAAATGCTACATGGAAAAACTGATAGATCATACAAACCACACTGAAAACATGGATAAGTTATAGAAAACAAAAGCATTATCATTTTTGTGGGAAGATAGCACATATGATCACACAGCTCAACTCATTCTTCCGGTCAACTATAGTGAGGAAAATTTAGATGTTTTCTAACATGCAACATGAAGAAAATTTAATACCTCCCTGCACGATGTCCCAGACGAGTTGTAAAGTTAGTCAAGACCAGCTCGGGCTCATGACTGGTGGGATTTCCATGATTCTGCAAGCAACACAAGGCAGCAAAGGTAAGACGTTACCCTCCTAGAAACTACATCAGACAAAACTTAAATCACCCTCAATACCCTGTAAAATAAGATCAGCTTATTCTAATCCATTGAAACCTAATTAGATAACATTTCTAAAACCACATTTCTCTCTTCATTGATCAATTTCTCTTGGATTTGATATTATTTCTCCAATAAAACAGGCCACGTCCACTTAAAGACCAGACAAATTAGATTTAATTGATGAGAAAATAGATACAGTTTATTGATGCAGAATCATCAAGGACTGTAACTTTCTTCAGTAGATGAATAAAATCAATTCATTTTAGAATAGAAGGTAACATTGCATTAAATAAAAGTTATATATCAATATCCACAAGGTCAGCCATAAACCTTGATATCCTTGCGTAGAACAAGCCGTGAGAGTTTGAAATGGGCAGTAGGGCCATCAGGCAAGCCAATGATCAAGAGAGCATCTACAAACAGTCTGAAAATTGTTAAGATTCTGATAGAAAATCGCAGTCACCCAAGGTTTTATCCATTGATAAATGAAATCTATTTCCAACTTAATAGTTATTGGAATAGGAAATCACGGTAAGAACGTGCATATCCTAGGCAATTTGGCATGTATTCTGTATTGAAAACTAAGAAGTACCACTCACCTGGTTCCCTGCGGTTGGTGTGAACAACTATAAGAGAAGTAAAATCCTGCTTCTTTGCATATTCTACAATCTACAAGAATGTTATGCACATCTTAATAAGAGATGAAACACTACTGCTAGGCATATTATATTAGAACGAGTGAGAGGGAAGGACAACCAATAAAAAGCACCTTTTTCAAGTCGTAAGTTCCTCTCTTGTAATAATGTGCATTTGGGATCACCTGGAGCAGTTCTGATATAAAAGCCGGTCCCCTCTGTAGACCACAAATGACATGTAAAGGCAATTCAACCATATCACAAGTGCAGGGAGAGATTTAAATTGGCATCAAAATAATTTTCATCTTCCATGGCTATTCAATGACAAAACAAATTAAAAAGAGATTACGAACTTACAGTAGAGTTAAAACGGGAAGTGGTGATCAATATCTTCGGAGTCCGTTCACGTTTTAAGATGGAGCTAAATTCGTCAGCATCATTGCCAGCGAATAGCTATAAACCAAGAGAATTAACACATCAGCTAAAAGAAGCATTTGCTATTTTGGCCATGAGTAGAAATAGCTGATTCCATCGCTGTGCATGAGCTATGAGTTAGTACCTCCTCGTCGTCAGGCTTGCATACAGTCTCGTCATTCTCTCTAGTATTTTCAATGGTGCGTGGAATCTTCCTTGGAGGAGGCTGCAGAATAATCACACCACACCAAATCAATTCTGATTAACAAAGAACAAAAACCCTAATGTGATATTTCAATTGGGGACCTGACCTCCTCACCGAGCTCGAGAGCTCGCTTCTCTTCGGCGTCTCGGGCTTTAAGCTTCTTGCGTTTCTCGACTTTCTTTTCATGCTTGAGTTTGGCGTGTACAGCAGATCTCTTCTCCTTGTTCTTTATCATTGACGGGAGTATTTCTCTCCCTTTCCCCTTCTCCATCTTCTTCTTTTCCTCCTTTTTGTCCAACTCTACATCGCTGCCATATTCTTCCATAGCCTCGCTTTCGCTCTTCCTTCTCTTCCCCCCCATTTTTTGCTAGTTATTTTCGCTTTATAGATACAAAAGTTTCCAGTAGCAGCATACACCGTAGAAGAAGAAGAAGTCAGTGAAACTAGGGTTTTTGAATCGGGCAGGGTATTAGAAGAGGATTTGTTTATGGGCCGGAGAGGCAAAGCCGTCAATGCAGAGGCCTGTTCTTATGTAAGAAGAAACGACATGTAATTTGGTTGGGGTAAACGACTGCTGAACTAATAACTATTCGTTGTTCCCTATGAAACACGTGTCAGTCAGAATATAAAGCAGAGCTGCCTGATTAGGCGTTCAAGGAAGCTGCTGTCTTTCCATTCTACAAATTAGGAAAATGATGATTTTAATCAGAATACAAACGTTTTTTTTTTTAATATTTTTTTTATTTTTTTTCATTACATGCGCACCTTTTTATATGTGGATTTGCGTTTTTTTAAATTTATTTTACAGTTTTTCGATCTGAAAAAACTTATTATATGTTGCTGTTGTTGTTATAGTGTTAGTTTTGATAAATTGTTTTAAAAAATAATATTTTGATGAATTTTAATGCAGAAGCATTAATTAGATAACACGATTTTAACTAAAAAGAAATATTTTTTTAAATCTTATTTCCAATCATCTAGATTTTTTTTTATTAATTCTAATTGCTTATAATTTTTATTACATCAATAAAATCTTTTTTATATTTATTTTAGATTTTTTTCATCGATTTTAATTGCTTATAATTCTTATTTAATTAAAAATACACAAAAAAATATAATTTTTCATTAAAAAAAAGCATGTTAACAAGAAAAGAAATAATTATACCAGATTTTTTAAAAATAATTGAAATAATGACTTTTCTTGCAAGGAATAAATTTCTTGTTGTATAATTAACTTGTTTTTTTGAAAAACTCCTTGCGAGATATCTTAGATATACATATATGTTTCAATTTATCAGCTTAATCGTTAATTAATATTAAAAAAGTTTCTAACATTTATTAATATATACAATTATTGATTTATTTTATTAAACAATCCTCATAAAATTAAAAGTTTGTAATGATTTAAAGTGCTATCTACTCTATTTGTGTCCGTCTCTTTTAATTACACAAGTGGAAAATTGAGTATAATAGCATAGCATCATTTAATTTTAATTTTAATTTTAATATAGTACATGGAAATTGGGGGGAACGAAGTTAAAACTTAGCCAAATGAAGTAACAGACAATGACTTCTCTATAAATTCAAATGGTGCTCGTTCACGGTAGACTCGAAACTTTTTTGCCTCCAATTTCACTGCAGTACTGCCTTGAATAACCAGCCTCCGGCCACCAAATAATTCACTTAGGGAGAGCATTTATTTATGGATTACTCCTTGAAATTGTTGCTGGTATCTGAGCTTCGGTGTCACAGTGTTCCTCTTCCCTGGCTAGGTGGGCTTGCTTCTCTCCACAATCCCCTGCTTCAATGCTTTTACCCCAAAGTAGAGTGTACAGACCTAGTATGACTAGGACAGAACCCAGGACACTGCTCGTTAAAATTAAAGAATGTTAGGAACAGTAAATAATCTGTTGTAAAGTAAAAGCATAATGCATGTAATGAAAGGAAACAACCTTCCCAGATAAAGTTGTTCATGCAGGATGGAGAAATCAAACATAGCAGCAAATATCTGTGTGAAAGGGGTGAATGCTGATGTGAACACAGGACCCCTTTGTTTGACGCACCATGACATGCCAACATAGCACAAGCCAGACCCTATGATTCCCTGTGCGAACAAGTGAAACGGTAATATTTCAAGCCTCCTGTGCCAACTGAAACTAATGAAACTTATTCTCTCTTGATATTGAATGAAGCACGCAACATTAATTTAAGCTACCCGGAGAATACTTACGGCATAAAGGACGCTTAAAATCTCCAATTTTGTTCTCAGAATCCACATGGAAAAATTCCTTTCAGTGCTTAAACTCAAGACAGCAGACTGGATTGCGCCCAAGAAGGATATAAGGGCGGTGCTAGAATATTGAAATGGGTAACTTTCGCTAATCTTAGCTTGAATGAGGAACCACAAAGACCACATGAAGCAGCCTGCAAGAGAAAGTATCGAACCAACCACCCACCTTTGTCTCTTCTTCCCTGAGATCATAGTGTCAGCATGGTTTAGGATGTCAGTTGTAGCAGCTTTTGAATGTGAATTGGTTAATGGGATTCCCTTATAAAAGATTAATAGGACAGCTCCTCCCATGCATATAAGTGTACCTAACACCTTTGTTCTTCCTGCCTTGCTTGTCATGCTCGCTTTTTCTATACTGGAAAGAGTTTTAACACCAGTTACCAAGGAATATTATTTTTGGTCAGAAAATGCAGTAAACTACTCACTGCTTGCCGCGCTTACCCAAAAAGTAGTGCTAGTATGAACGTGTTTACAGGGACCGTGTTGAGGAATGCACAGGCCAAGGTAGCAGATATATACTCAAGTCCCTTAAGGAACAAATATTGTGTGAGAGCTAACCTGATAGACATCAATAATTCTCAGAGAATCAGAGTCTCTAGTACTCATAATCATGGCAATTGTAGTTACATATTGCGAAGCATAACGCACAGAACCACCTTGAAGATTACTAATATAGTTTAACTAACCCGAAAAGGGCACCGAGGAAGAGGTGGCAGAAGATGGAAGCTGTTAGCCTAGGTCTGCTTTTCCTGCAATCAAACTAGCTATATTACAGACCCTTGTAAGAACCTTTGAACATCAAAGAAGTATTTAGTCCATGCTCCAAACTCGGTGATATTTCCAATGAAGGAGCAACAGAGAAAATAACTAGTTGACAGACGTCAAAATCGTGCTTAGAGGAGCTAAACAAGCATGAAATAATAATTGTGCAGCAGCTGAAAGACTACCTTTCCCAATAGTAAGAAACAGGCGCCAAGAAAATTGCAGAAGTTGATAGTCGGTATGTGGCAATAACCATACTGTTCGTTCCTTGATCCAGAACCTTTTTAAAAAGCACATTCACTATTGCGAAGGCAAAATTAACGACCACCATTCCCACAACAGGCTTCCATTGTCCTCCGTCACTCATGTTTTCTCCACGAGTGCAGTTTAAACAGATATTTTGGAGAAGCAGTAGTTGAAGAATAGTTAGGTCCTCTCCAAAAGAGATACAAGTGTGTGCAATGGTAGTGTAATCGGACTGATAGCCTTCATCTATATATAGGAACACCACTTTCCGAAGGGAAAAAGCATGATTACATAATCGTCCGAGTACCGACTTTCCATTTCTTTAATCAGTATTCGCTTCACGCAATCTTTTGTCAGACCTTTTTTTTTTTGTTTTATAGTCAGTGAACACGAAATCAAATTCTAAGCTAATATTTAAGCATCAAATGACCTCATAAAGTTGTCACGACTTTTGGTAATTAATATGGCTGATGACCGTATATATTTAGCAGAAGGAAGGCTCTATGTCACTTGGCCTTTCTGCTATTGAGCATGTAGTGATTTAAATATTCAGTAAGCAATAAGCATCTTCTCTGAAGGAGGCAGATATGATCCAAGTGTCCCTTTCTGCAAAGTATCTAATACTTTCGAGCACAGATCAACCAACTCTTTCAGCTTGGTGAATGGAAGAACATTGTGTCAAATCTTAAAAGTAAGATTAGTGCCACTATAATGGGGTCCTTTGTAGCTGTAACTTGTTCAAGCTATGTTTTTTCCCTTCTGTCACGCATTTAAAAGCCTAGTTTTGAAAGCTTTACGACTACGCTACCAAAAATTCTATAAATATAAATATAAATAAAATTACTAATAATTTTTTTATTGATATTTTATTGTGATATTTATTGATAAAATTTTTTCTATCATTAAAACTATTGATATATATATCAAGAGAAATAATTTGTTGGTATGTATTGAGAGAATCCTAAACAAAATATAAAGAATTAAAAAAATAAATTGTGTCATGATGTGTAAGTTTTTATAGACAATTTTACTGATGGAGTTACAGTCGAATTCAAACTAGACTATCCATATAATGACATGTCAAACATATTGATAGAATTTCCAACAGAGCGATAGATGAAATAATTCCATCGAGAATTTCATTGATAATATTTAATATATAACTAAATATTGAAATAATTCCATCAAAAATTTTATTCGTAATATTTAATATATGACCAGGTATTGACCCTTCCGTATCCCCCCCCTCATCTAAACAAACCCCCTTTCCAAAAAAAAAAACATTAACAACTAGCTCCCTCCCCCCAAACACCCCCCCTTTATCTCAACACAAACTTTTCTAGTCTTAAAATTCATGTTTTGATTTATTATAGATTTTTTTTATTTTTAATAAGTAAATCTATCTATTTTTAATTTTAATAAAATTTTAAAATATCAATTTTATTATTGAATATTTTTTTAGTATATATATTTTGTTTAGGTGTTTACTTGTTTTATTGTTTTTTCTCAAACATGTAGTATGGATTTATAATTTTGTACTTGTTTGTTTTAGATTTTGTGAAATATTATTTGTTTGTAAATTGTTGAAAGTTATGTCGAATTATCGATGTAGATGTGTTGTGATGAAATAAATAATAATTTATTTAACATGTATGTTTTAATTTTTTATTAATTTTATTGTCAATTTGTAATTTCCGTAAGTTAATGAATATAAATTTGTATGTATGTAGATAAATATTGATAATGAATATTTAAGAAAAGTTTGACATTAAGCTGGATAATCTAACTAATATTTTTTTGAATTTATTTACTTAATATAATTAATTAATACATGTTGTTATCATTATTTTATAGAGATTTGATAGAAGTCATAGATGATCAGTCATGGATGTATCAAGATTCACCCTAAGGATGACAGATGATGAATTATTGTAATGAGGTTTAGAGTTTTACTAATTTCTCAACATTTATTCTAAGAGTAGATATGATATTAGGTGTCTATCCAAGAGGTGTAAAAATAAAACGTTTCTTCATCCAGATGTTGTAATAATGCATCTTCTATACAAAAGGTTCATGGAGGATTACTTGTTTTGGTATGCACTCAGAGAACTGTTTATTCGTAATGAGAGCATGGTAGAGAGGATGACCAGGTCAACTTCTAGTGTTAAAACGTGCATGAAGTTATAAATGACAATAGTAATCCTTACATGAATA